CTGAAACTCTCTGCTGCTTCTTGTTCTGTTGCAAAACTTCTCCTGAGCAATCCCATGCAATTTTTTTTTTTACAACTTTTCTTTCCTGTTGTGTATTTTATTACCACAAACCTTTTTGGATAAACCTTTCCTCCTCCTCCAATTGCAGTTCTGCCTTTTTATAGCCATTTGCAACCTGGAAGCACGGCCATCCTGCTTGGGTTGGCCCATGGTAGAAGCTGCTTCTATCACCCTGTAGTCTCCTAATTCAAACTTCCATATTCATATGAGACTAAAAAGCTACATGCTCCTGCTGCAAAGATCTCTATTTCCATCATAAAGCAGGAACACAGTGGTGTGGGGAATGCATATTAAACCCAGCCTGAGGCCACCTGAGCCTCAGGATCAGTCATGGTCACCTGGAAGTCCTTATGAGGCATGAACCTGGAGCTTGCATGTCCAAGGCCATCTGTCCCCACAGACCAGGGAGACCTCAGGAAACACAGCCCATGGCCCTTCAAGGTGCTGCAGTGTTGGGATTTAGGGGTTGCTCAATGGTCTCTGGGTGGTGGACATATGCCCTATGGAAGAGCCACTGTGGACGCAGCTGTGTCCATGGTTTGGCAGCTGGCAGGCACTTTCCAAGGAGTTGCTAATGGTGAGAATTAAGTTATCAGGCTTCTAAATTCATGTATTTTGTCAAACTGCTAGAGAGAAGGAGGTAGGAGGTGAAGGGAAGAGCCCCAAGGGTTGTCCTCGTTGCAGTGTTCACTATATGGCCCTCCTGCCCTTCTCACTGCCATCTGCATGTTGGTGGGTGGTAGACCTCTGTGACTCATCTTTGACCAAAAATCTATGGGACACTTTGCTGTTTGCGGAGGGCTGAAGAAGGGGTGGCACTGGGTGGGTCTACGCTGGCCTCAGTCGCGAGGCAGCGCACGTATCCGGAAGGGCTTGGGACAACGCGTGAGGCTGAGCGTGAAGGCGAAGGTCAACTTGGTGGCCTCCGGAGCCCGGAAGGTGAACTTCTGCAGGAGGGCTGTGAAGAATATGAAGAGCTCAGTCCTGGCCAGCTGCTCCCCGGGGCAAGCTCGCTTCCCTGGAAAAGGAGCAAAAATAACCCCACCGAGTCCTCAGTGAGCTTCAACCACTTCTTGGGTTCTTCTCTCACTCAACGCATTGCACAGGCTGTGGAAGCTTTTCTTTCTCGAAAGGTTAGGTGGCAATGTTCACCCACACATTTTGCAGAAACCTTCCCCAGAAGTTTGCTGCTGAGCAAACTGCGACGGCTGTTCAGATAAAGGGAAGAGGGGAAACTCAGAAAAAAAAAAAACAACAAACTATTTACGCAGCTTGCACAAGAGGAAAAAGCCTTAGTTTTTTATCCTGTGATAACAAATTGATTTCCCTCCTGCTCTGAGCAGTCAATATTAACTGTTTCTGGGATTTTCACTGTGGGGATGGGCTGGAAGCCAGACAACGAGCAGTACCCCTACTCTGGAGGGGATGTTTTGGGGAAAAAAAACCCATAACATTGCAAAAAGGAAAACTGTCTCTCCATCCATCATCCTACCTGCAGAGAAAGGCAGAAAAGCCTCCTGCCTCCTATACTGGCCGTTTTCCAGGAAATGTTCAGGATTAAAGGTGTCTGGAGTCTCCCACACGTTTTTGTCGAACATTATCGAAGTCAGGCTGGTCATCAGGGTGGTGCCCTGCAAGAGGTGGAGGAAACGGGCAATTACACGAAGGAGAAGAGCCGACGTCTTGTCAGTCTAGTTTATTATTAGCTCTGTTCCATGCACAAATGTAAACTACTTTTTTTTTTTTTTTTTATAAGGGCAAAGTGTTTTTTCCTGAGCTATGTAAATAAATGAGGGTGAAAGCCTACAGGATTGTTCACTTCTGTGCTCCTTTATATACCACCATACTGTTGATTCGTATCTTGTGCTGCAGTCACATGCAAATAATCATATACACAGATGAGACTAGATATATCTGAATCTCATATTTGCTTTCATAATGCCAGAAAAGTGTGTATGCATCAATACCTGGCTTTTAACAAGTGCTTCTTTCAATAGGTGATATTTAATCCTCTGTGGAACTAACAAGCCCAGACTGTTTGCTGTCCTGTGTTTCTTGGCCCTCTATTCCCATAATGCCTGGAGGGCGTCTTGTATAAAATTTGAGAGATAAACCTTGCAAAACTGGAAATTATAACCAACACTGTAGGATCTCACAGTTCTCCACAAGGAGGTGAGACCCTGAAGAGCCCTAGAGCATGCGTCAGGAGGGCTTGTATTTTCTGTATAACTGTGACATCTCTATAAGATCCTGCTGATTGGTTCCCCTCAAGATGAGATATGGGACTTGAGCCATGAAGACCTAACTCTGTTTGGGCAATAGGAAGACTGTTGTTGTCTATGTACTTTGGGCAAGTGGAAGCCGGCCAGGGTGGTGTCACTGGTGGACCTCCTGGGCACTCCCAGTGGCACGACGTTGCCCATCCGCAGGACCTCACTCAGGACTGCACTGGTGTACGGCATGTTCTCTTTATCGGCCAAGGTGGGCTGGCGGGACTGGCCGATCACCGTGTCGATTTCGAGCTGCACTTTCTCTATGGAAAGAGAGAAAAGGAAAAGACCTGTGCTCAAAAGGTTCCCAAGAAGAAAACTGGGGCATAGGCATGTCCAACACGTGGTAAAGCTGGAAATAACTCTATTTTCTGAGTTTCACTTACCTGGTTTTGGGCTAAATGAAGGACTCATCAGTGACTCTACCTTGAATGTGGGGATGTGCGACCATGTAGAGCAGAGCCCAGCGGATGGCGGTTGCTGTCGTCTCAGTCCCGGTTAAGAAGAGGTCCAGGGTGGAGCACAGCAGGTTTTCCTCATGGAAATATGAGCTGGTGTCACCCTTAAACTTGGGAAAAGCATGGCAATGAGAACTCTTAGTAGGGAGGAGATGGTCTCAAGAGCCCAATCCAAATCCATCCATCCATAAGTCAAGTTCTGCTGCTATTTTATTATCCATCACCCCTGGACTTGGAAATTTCTACCCATACTTGCACTGAATTATGAGCCCTGCAGAACGCTTTGAAAGACAACCTGTTTGCTGTAGAGTGACTTTTGAAGGCAGGTAGCATTTTCAAATGTGAAGTTTCACACAGGCCTGCAAGCTCTCATAAAAACGTGAACACGTTCCCTGAGAGTCCTCCTACGCTGCGTGACAGTATGAAAAATGGAAGAAGACAAAGTGTAAATACTTTCAAATGAAAAAAAAAAATCTGCGTGTTTTCAAAGTGATCTGGCTCCTGCTGTTTCTAAAAAGTTTGACATGGAAGAGGTAGGGAGGAGAAGGCAACGCAGGAGGTATGCATTCCTCTGACAAAACAGCCTTGAATTTTCTCTGCTCATTTTATGGTTAAGATTTAGATGGCTTTAGGAATTTCCCTCTTACCTTTTCTATTTCCTTCAGGTAACAGTCAATATAATCTCGTGCCTCGGACTGGTCCAAATCCTCCTTGTGCTTTGCAATCACTCCTTTCACAAAATATTGAAGTTTCTCCCAGTGCCTGAAGATTTTTCTAAAGGGTCCTGGTAGCCATCTCATGACCAATGGAAAAGCATTATACAGCTGGTGAGAAATCAACAGAGCAAAAGAATGTGTCTTGAGTTAAAAAAGAGCAGATATCAGAGTTGAGATGATAGTACAGTTTATTAGCTCTGCTTACTACCAGGAAAATATATCAGTCAAGGTCAATTCAGTTACACCAACGTAAACAAGTACAAACAAGATAAGAATTGGCTAGATGTTTTCTGCTGATAAAACTCTCTAATATTGGGTGGCCAAAGCTGTCACTTAATGTGAGGGGCAAGCGTGAGGTGGCTACTGGAGTCATAAATCAGTGTGGATGCAGAGGAATCCTTTAGTGCTTGGGTCCGTGGAGGGGCCAGAGATCAGACCTGATCCATGGTGTGTGGCCATGCAGGACCTATGTCCCCAAATCCACCTATTCTGGTTATAAACCTGGACTCTCAGACAGTTTTGGCATAACTAAAAGTTATTCGAGAAGCTGGCTGGGAAAGGGGTGGGGGAAAAGAAGGGAATTTTCACTGAAAGTGCTACTAATTGACTCTTCTTTTTGTAGAAGCATAGACATTTTTAAGGTTTTCCATTGCTTGCTGGTTGTGTCAAGCATAATATTGGTTTTACAGTCCTGCAGTGTTTTTTCTCCATGTGCCTCAATAATTCTACCTTCCTTCCTTGCTTTCCTGATGGATTTTGTGTATTAACCCAGCCTGACATAAAAGAATACTCGTGGTCATTTTGCTTATACCTTGACTATCTTTCTACAGGGAAAGCAGTTCACACCAGTGCCTTAGAAACTCCAGTTTCTGAGCACTTACATGCAGCTGAAGCTAGAAAAGCATCTGACTAGCTTTACCTGGCCCCAGAAACTTCCCATGAGCAGCAGCGTTTCAGCTAGCGAGTGCAGTAATTCCTGGAAACGGTTGTCATGGTAGTCAAAGCGGTTCCCAAAAGTTATGGAACAGATGATGTTTGAAACAGCATTATTGATTTTGTAATGAGGGTCAAATGGTTGTCCTGGAGGAAACAAAATGAAAGACAACTTTTTTTTTTTTTTTCCCCTTTAAAGTCTTGGTCAAAATCACATTCTCTACCAGATCAACAGTTGTGAAGTTGGGGTGAGACCTCACCAACTTTTCACCCACAGTGAAGCTAAGGCTTCACCCCATGTCCTGGGGTCCCCACCACCCCCATCACCTCCAGCATCCCGCTGGAGGTTGGATGTTGCGTGCCATGACATCCTTTCTCCGAGGACAACCCCTCCCATCTCCAGCCCAGGCTGCTGGCACAACCTTACGTTAGCACAGAGCTGCTGTATCAGGATTTAGACTGTATTCCAGGGAAAATGACCAGTAGGATGCCACACTATGGTTGTCAGGTTCTCTTGCTTCAGTGCATTTTTTGGCCCAATTTTAAAGGCCAAAATAGGGTTCCTCAAAGCTTAGCCCAGGGCAGGGAGCTCAGGCCTAACCATACTGCAAAAATGCCATTACACTGGCCTTTAACTGTCCACTGTAAAGAAATCAAATGGTATGGGAGAGGGGGAGAGGGAGAGGATTGCAAGTCTTTGTGGCCACCTATAAAATCCAGCAATAGCTCATATGACCCACAGATGTGGTGCACATCAGCTCCTAAAAGAGCAAAGTGTGGTGTGACATTCATCACATCTGCATTCCTTGGAAGAGCTACCAAGCAGAGACCACCATCTCCTAGGGCACATTTAGGCAACCTGGAGAGCTCCTTGCCATGATACGGGAGACTGAGATCAGTATTGAATCCAGTCCAGCCCTGAGCTGCTCTCGGTACGCTGGGAAGCATCACTTTGAAATGCAAGGCACTCTCCACAGGACTGCTGATCTCTCCACTCTTCAAGAAAGTAATTAAACTGGGCTGGTGCTCGGATATTAGAGTGATGGACATGATCACTATTTGTCCTTACTAATGGGAAGAAAGGCCCAAACCAGCAGCTTAATTGGTTTATTGACTAGGACTATAAAGGACTATAATCAATTGGCAACATGAAGTATTTGGCCTGTTCAGTGCAATAGCAATTAAAATGGAGCAAGTTCAGTATATAATTTCACAATTCCTATTTAGATCTTTCTTGTTTACTATATATAGCTCCATAGAACTAACTAACCCACATCTGCTTCTATTTCAAGCTGAAGTGCAACATCACCCGTGCACCAACATACAAATTATTCTTACTAATATCCCTCTGGCAGTTCTTAAAAGCGGGACCATAAAAGAGCAAGGCACACGCTTCATCTGTGCATGATACAAAAGGAAAGCCTGACTAAACGAGTTTTAAAATACTTTGCAAAACCAAGGACAAGCAGAGGTTAACTAAGCCTCTGAGCATATGTGCCTGATAGCTGGAGAGCTGCATTTATTCCTCTGCAGAATACAGGAGGGACTTTCTTAGCCATATAAACACGCAAGTTTTGATAACCACCTAGTATATATTTGCCTAATATTAGTAAGGAAGAACTCAAATTGTAGACCTGAGGTCTAAAATGAGCACTAAAAGGCTCAGTCTGGGAGCATAAGATAGAGATTGGAGCTATTGAAGAAATGTTTTGCATGTTAGGAGCTGCATCGGAGTAAGAGTTTTACTTCTCGCCGTTCATTTAACTGGAAGCTTTGGGCACGGTGCTGTACCCCAACTGCCCACCTTTCTCCTCCTCGATTGTCTCCACAAGATATCGGCTCTCCTCTTGCACTTTTTCCTCAAAACTTACAGAAATGCTTTTCAGCGTTGCTGAAGCAAACTTTCTCTGTTGCCTCCATATATGCCCATTTGATGATATGAGCCCTGTTGGCAGAAAAAAAACAAGTGAACAAACCTCACTCTGGGTCACCTGTAGGTGATGGAATTCAGAAATGGCCATTTGTGTTGAACAGAAACCCCAAACCAAAGCAAACAAAACCTGTAGACAATGAAAAACTATAGCTTTGCCTGGGAAGTAAAATCCAAGAGTAATTGGCTTATACTAAAGATCTGGCTTTATGGATTTGCTTTAATCTGCTACTTTGTCACTTTGCGTGGGAAAAAAAGGTGTAAGCCAAAATACTATAAGCACTATCACGCTGTTGGCAGAGCTGCAGGCAGGAGCACTGTACCCCGTCTCTGAAGCTATATGCAACTGGGGAGAAAAAATAAAGGAGAAATTAAAACCAAGGGGAAAACTCTTCAAGTAGAGCGATCATTGGGCAGCTTGCACTTATTTCTCTTCTTTCTTCCACACCTGACTGCGATCCCATCACTATCCCTAAATCCCAAAGAGATTAAAATGTACAGCTGCTTCGATTATTAGACCGAATAAAGTTCTTGCTTCCCTCTGAGTGAGCTTTTCCAGGTGCAGTTAGCGAGGGTGAATTCAGCCGGTTTCTGTCACTGTAATTGTTATCGTTGCAAATAGATGGGAAAATGGTACCAAAATCCTGGTAGTTGTGCTTACCAAAGCCTCTAAATATTTCTTGGAGGAGCGGAATATTTGGCCGATCTGTAAATATTTCAGCCTGGTGGACAAGAGCTTCCTTCACCATTTGGTACCCGTTGACTACCACGAAAGTCAGACTTCCAAACTGCACGCTGAAGATGTTCCCGTACCGACCCGTAAGCTGAAAGAGAGTTCATTGCCCTCTGAGAGCAAGAAGATGGAGATTTTACACCTGGACAAGACCTTGAGAAATGGCATCTAACTTTGAATTTAGTCCTGCTTGCAGCAATGGGACTTAAGAAAAAGCCAAACCCATGTCCACAGGCCCCACCTAACTTTAACAGTTCCATGAAGGCTGGAGATGCTAGAGAATTGTGGTGTGGGAGAGACGGCTTGCTTGTATTTGTTAGCAAGTATGACCTGAGTGTCACCAGGCAGTTGCCCTAATTTAACTCAGAACAGGGATATTACTTGCTTTGTAACTGATGGGCATCTGCTCCATCTCTCTTCTTCACAGGGAGGGTACAAGAGGTGAAGTGACCACCTGGGTCGCTATGACCAGGCTCTCGCTGCTGAGGAGCAAAGCACAACAAATACGCTCTTTCATCAACTTTGCATTTAAGGTAGTGTCGTTTCTTGCTCCAGCTATCCCATTTAGAAAGCGGCTGCAACTGCTGATGGCTTGAACCCTACTTCTAATTTTAAGCCTGAATGCATTTATGGCCAAATCATAGATATTTCCCTTGCATTGACTTTGCTAGCATTGGCATCTCCTCTGCAGCATTCAACTCCCTGGTGTATAAGAGATGAGGGTGATCATGCTGTCTCTCGGGCCCCGCTCTGCCAAGGAGCTTAGGCCATCCTCTCCTTAGTAGGAGTCTACATGAAAGGACACATATGGTCACTTTGAACTGCTGTGGTGTTTCGTGAAACCAGTCTGAGGCCAAATGCGTGTCTCATCATTGTGTGCAAGGAAATGAAGGTGACTAATTTTATTAATAATAATTGTGTGGATTGACAAAATATCCTGAACACACTGCCTCAGCCTTCCCCAAGGATTCCCCTAGGGACCACCCATGCTAGTGGCCTGTGAAAACCCAGGGCAGATAGATCGGGGTTGGTCTGCTGAGTAAAAGCAAGAGGTAAATAGTTACCAGAAAGGATATTTGCAACCAGCAAGTCAGAACTTTTCCTTCCACCTTTCCAGAGAAGAATACTCAGCATGTATAAGATACGTCTCTCTTTTTTTCTGGCTTCAGTGGGAGTCAAAGCTCTGGAAACCTTTCCAGAGCAATCACTGCCTCTTTATGTGACACAGAAGAAACCACAGGGATGGTTAACTCAAAGTCTTGAATGTTTCTTTCAGGTTTAATGGGACAAATTGTTGGCCTCTGAGCAAAGACAATGACAACACAATTTCCAGAGGTAATCTTCACAATCCAAACAGTTAATTTCTCACACAGCACTTACCATCCTTCCACCAGCTTGGCTCATCTCTCCAAACCCTTCATGGGCTCTGGCAGAAAATGGTCGTGGGAAGAAAAGAGGAGGAACATGCATGTCTTCCTCTGTTACAGATTTCTTTCCCACTGGATCTTCCTGCTCCCATGGGAAAAATGGTGATAATAAGAGCTAAAACCAAGAAGGACTGTCTATTATACACGCTTATTATATAGCTAGTTCTTCAGAGGCTGCCCTTGCTTCTCAGATTTGGTGACAAAAGTCACTGAAGAGGTATCATATTATTAGTAGGAGAGATGACCATGGAGCTCTTACCTTTTGCAGCGCGAGATGGAGGGGCTGCCTAAAGTCCACAAAGGTTCCCACGAGAGGAAAGAGCTGCGGCCCTGGAGGGAAATTCCTGGGACGTCTCTTTTTCACAAGGTCAATAATCAAAAGAAACATGACCAGAATCACCAAGACTGTCCAGCCATTCAGCTTTTCCAAGAGAGAAACCAAATCAGGCCAAAACCGAAGCTCCATCTTGGCTGACGAACTCACAGATTTTCATCCCAGGAAAGGACTTGATGCTGGTGTTACATTTGCTAAAACAGGAGTGGAAAGAAAACAAAACGAGCTAAGCTGCTGATAGCTTACTGGGGACAAGACTTGCCATGGGTGAGCTGCTTTCTCATGTACAGCTAGTTTCAGACCACCTGCTGAATAACGAATTTTAAACATGAGGATCTCCAAAAACAACCCCGGAAACTCAAATATTTGGCCACAGAAAAGGAGTCTTTCAAGGCTTTAGCTTTACATATCTGTCAACTCCCTAATTTTCTTATGGAAGAATATTCCTCCCTTCTACCCTTAACAAGTTGCTCCTTTATACAGACACCCAGCTGGGATTACAAGCATTGCAAACATTTGAGGTTAGGAGAAAGCAGATTACTTGGCTAATTACATACAGTGGGCACTGCATAATTTAAAAAATAGTGAGGCATCCAAGGTGATGAACACCATACAAGTCACTAAGAGGCTGATCCTGTTAAGTGCTAAGCACATCTGCAAAGGGCTGTGTCCTCAGTGCCCACCAAAGCCTGCTTGGCTTTGCCAGAGTCATCAGGTGAAGTTCGGACAAGGGAAGCACTGTGAGATCCCAGGGCTCTGCCCAGCAACTTAAACGAGAGTTAAAGGAGCTTAATTTCGAGAGTGAGAACGTAGGCTCATGCGCTTGCCAGCTGAAGGAGAGATTGGAACTTATGCATTTAAATCTCCTGGGTTTTCTGAAAATCTCCTTTGAATAAAGCTTCGTGCTGTCCCAGGGGAAGGCTTCAGTGGACCGACAGTGACCTCTGTGACCGTGAAACAACCCCATGTCATCTGCCAATATTTTAGTTGCAACTTGCTTCCACGTCTTTTTTTGTTTGTTTTCTTTGAAGAGATTTACTTTGCAAACAATCTAAATTTCTACTGAAGCAAAACTGCCAATAATATTTTTTCAAATTATTTACCTAGAAGTTATGCTGAGAAGTTCAGAAGAATGGTAAATTTTTGTTGTCTTTGGTATTTTTCAGAAAGCTTTAATTTTTCAGGAAAAAAAAAATCAAATTTTCACGGGAAATAATACTTGGGAAAAAAAATTTGGTATTCTCTAGTCTTTCACCACTTTCAAAATCTTTGCTGTCCGTATCTTTCATTATCTTTGTGGCTGCAGTGCCAGCAGAAGCACGCACAGGCTGTATGACAGATCTGCACTTCAGTTATTGCAGGAGCCCTTTTTAAGGGCAATACCTACCTGCAACCCAACACTTCTTGGTTTGAAATATTATTTACAGGTTTCTGGACAGTCTTAGGCACCAAATGGGGACCAATAATGGGAGAAACATCTCACATCACTGGTCTATAAATTGTATTTTACATGTTGGCGTTGCACAGCTGTGAGCAGCAGTGATTGGACGTGCTCTTCTTGTCCCTGTGCTGGTGCATCCTTGATGCTCCTGTACTCATTTGCCTCAAGGCACCTATTCCACCCTTTCCAGTGTGGCAAGCCAAGCCTCGCTCTACCAGAGGCTAAATCAGGATAGTGGGCTCGTGCTCTTCATCCTGGCATCGAGGAGATGACTCGGTTGGTGGAGGTGTCAGCCTACAGCATGCTCAAAGGGACTGTGATGATAAGGCGTCAACTTCTGCTAGCCCAGTTTCACTCCTCTGTTCTTCGCTATGCCATATGATTTGTCAGCATGCACACAGAGTGCAGATCCCTCTACCACTTGTGGCTGCTGTGAATCGGGCTACGTGCAAAGCCAAGGTGTTAATGTGTTCTTCTGGGTGGTGTTGTGGGGGTGGATGCATCGTGGTTGACAGGAGAAATGTTATTTTTAGCAGGAGGAGCACATTTCGCATGTACTCACATGTGTCTTGTCAGTCAGAAACCTCCAGCCTATTACTTTCCCTTGAAGCTTCACATGTCCAAATGCATCTCTCCCCAAAGTCCTTAACATGCCAGAATTTCTAAAAATTGGGGAAGACCATTCCAGTATTACCAGGGCTCTCCTAACCTCGGTAGACAATAACACCAGCATGTTACCAAACTGCGTTGCAACAACGCTATTTTGGGTCCCAAGCTTTAATCAAATCACTTCCCAGCACGTGGTGATGTGCAAATCCCCAAAGCACTGAGGAAGTCATGTTGCTGCAGCGCATGGGCAATACAAGAGTGTTGAACTATTCCTGTTTTCGCAATCTCTGGAGGACCCTTAGCTGTAGGATCCTGGTCACCTGGAAGATGAACCCGTGCCTCTGGCCAGCACCACAAACACAGGAACAAGTCTCTTGTGGTCCAAAGAGCCAAAATGTGAATTAATATGAGATAAGGATGTACAACCATACATCTAATAGGGAGCAGGATGTAAACCCACCTTCCTCAATTTGTCCTTCAACCTCTTCTGACCCTAGTACACAACTTTTTGACCACCTCACCTGAGCTCATGGATACCGGCTAGATAAATTGTGCCATATTGCATGGACATGCACACATCACTGCCTGAATATTAAGGCATCTTGAACAGCCAACAGACAGAAATTGGCCCATATGCTTTGTACCTTCTTCCCTGGCTAGATGTCTAACTGTGTGCAGAAGGTTTTGAAACACAAAGAGAAACATTCTGTTAAAAATGCAATTACCATTTGTTTTTCAAGATATAGTATCCCATTATTTTTTCCAGAGAAGTGAAATTCAATAAGGTTACAACAGAATGTAGTCCAACAGTTACCGTACTTTCAGAGCATTATTTAAGCTACAGAATTTCTTAATGATTAGAAACATATGTAGGAAAAATCACATGCAAAATGAGAATGACTGGAGACAATTTTCCCCCCGAACACTTTTTTTTTCAGGCAAGTAACAGCTCATCTACCACTGTGGTTCCATCCACCACGTTGGAGGCGTGAGACCTCCACCCACCTGGGGAGCCACATGCTCAGGTCACATCAACCGACAGGCTCCGGCAAAGTCCAAGGACCCATCCTGATCTACACTGATGAATATTTTGCTGCTTCTTTCCTCCTATGTCAGACCCAAATGAGTGATGCCATTTTCACCACGGGCAAGCTGGTGAATTGCAGCAACTACCCTTATGTGCATGTTAAGGCCACGTCCCAGAGGGCTTTCACACAGGTGTAGCTGCCGTTTCACAACCCAGCTGAGGTGAGTCCTAATGGACCTGAAGGCAATGGCAGCTCTGGACACTCATTTCCTTTTAGGATTTGCTTTACTGGATCAAATGAAATCTATAGGAGGCTTGTAATTGTATTGTAACTTTGTAAGGTGAGGAGTAGAGCATGCTGGGCCACTGGTACCTCCTGGAGCAAGCTCAGGAAAGACATGCTTGAACCCAGTCCTTAAGCTTAAGTTCTCTGCTTGGAGTGATTTCACTGGGACATAAGTGCTCCCATGGGAGCTCAGGGCTCAAATATTTCTGGGAGTCTGACTTAAAGCCCCAAAATCAGGGAGCCAAGCCCACATTTACTGCTGTGCACACGTGGCAAATACTGAGGGGCCTCCATTTCGGCATCTTCTCTCTCCCCTACCTAAGACTAGGTGCAAATATTCTCCAGGGTTTCCTGGGACTCCCACAGACTTCTTGCCTATTGCCTCCTGGCCACAACAACGATTCCAGCACTAATTAAATCCATAAGGCAGGCAACTGTCACCATGAATGGGTAAACTGAGGCATTATGAGCCTAAGCAAAGTGGTGTGAGTGGACCTACCAAGTGTCTTGTTGCGCAGTCCAGGAAGGATCCCAGGAGACAAGATGCTTTGTGACCTCCTGTAACTGATCAAAATTTCTCTTTTCTGCTGTAGAAGATAGTGGTAGAGAAGGAATTACGTTCAGATATGTCAGCCAGATAATTAAATGTAGGTAGCAGAAACCGCTGCCCGGAGCACTCCCAGTGCCTCCAGACCCTTGAGCACCTCTTGACTTTTTGGTCTTTGGGCCAAGATTTGATTCCCTTCACCACCAGGAGCTGCATCGCCTTTGCCAGCCCCGCGCTGCCCTGCGCGGCAGACCCCCATCCGGACGTATGGAACCAGATACTGGGGGTGCCGGGTGCTTCCCCC